CGAAAAATTCGCAAGCAGAGGCGTTCGTATCCCGAGGTATCACTGTATTTATGAACATTACCCTTGGCACCCTCTAGAGGTTGTAGCAGGAAACAGCGTCATCAAATTGCCAATCAGCAATGCCTGTCAGAATAGCCATTTTGCAAGAGTGCCCACGACATGTCCTCAACATTCCAAATGCTCACATAGTCAAAAATATTGTTTATACTCTGTGCATAATGCCAACATTAACTGGCATGTCATCATATCCTAGCATGAGATGCCCATTAAAAATAATTCCCTCACATTTTCTTCAGTGTACCACTTGTCTAAAGCATTTGAAAATGATTATTCAGGAAAGGGCAAAATCCACTGAACATTAGTTATTCATTATATTTTTAATTCATCCAGGAACAAACATTTTCTGAATAGATCATTCTTAAATTAAGGAAGCTAACATTGTTTAGAAGGTGGGAGAGGGAGGAGAGCATAAGAATTTTCAAAAGAAGGAAATTCCTGGACAAATTAAATGCAAGAGAGACATCACAGACTGATATGGCCACTGGGAAATGTTATTATAGATGGCTTATGCCTAACTTTCTCATCAATCCCATCTAGACTTTCAAGTGTGTTTTGATCAGGGAAGGACAATACGATTCCATTATAGTCTTCTACAACTTGGTATTTATGCAAAGACTGAAAACAAATATTTTACAATATGCTTCCAATAGGGTAAGTAATTATGCATCTATCCCCTAATGAATATTTCTTAATAAAAACTGACAAATCTCCATAGCACTAATTTAAAATTTCATCTTCCAGCCTCCAACATTATCACCCATTCCTCAGATTCTACAGAGCCCTTATAAGTTTTCTAATTCTCCTTTACGTGTTTCTGCTGGAAATAACATCTATATCTCACCTTTGAAGAATCCCAGCAAATTTTCTGAAGGGCTTATGTCACCCACAAAAATGACACCCAGAACAAGGTTAGTAAACTATTGCTTTAAGCAACTAAATTAAACACCAACCTATGCTAGATGGATATTTTTCAGTTTTAATAGAAATGATCATCTGCCATTCTTTCATTATAGGAAATTCTTATTTGACTACGTATAAAAAGTTATTTTGTATAACACCCCCCCCCAAATTTTTCTCACAGATTCCATGTATAATCTGACTTTTCTATAGACATTCTGGACATAATGTGAATTGTACAGCCTAATGTCAAAAAGCATTCAAAATTTCCTAGACTTTAACACATTTGTTAAAGTGAGCTAATGGAACCTCACCTGGACTTTCATCTTCAGCTGTGTATGCGGGACCTCTGATGAAGCCAAGAGAACCATAGATTCAAATAGCTAATTGGGAGGAGTGGTCAGTTCTATTCCCCCCTTCTCTCTGTTCTCCCCTTGGCCTGCTTACTGCCATCCCTGCTGCTTGCTTGCTCTATTCATTTGTTTTGGACTGAAGTGCATAGCTTCTGGTAATTCCCTTTTGCCTCTCAGACATCCACTTAGCTGGCCTCACTGATATGAGCAGCAGTGCCCTTTTCTTGGTCAGGTTGGGACCAGCTTCCATTGACTCACAGTCTCTTGTTTTGCTGCTGTTTCATACCCATATTATTTTATTGTAAAATACAGATTTTCTGGAAAGGTGCTAAAAAAAATCAAAACCTGGCAGCAGTGAAAAATAGTGCTCACAGAAACACATTAGCAATCTGTTGATAGGCAGCCTGCTCTGAAGAAACTAAAAAGAGAGCTGCGCTGTCCTAATGCTAATATGACAGAACTTGACACAAGGGCTACAGAAACCTTACGGCATCAGATGGGGCAATGGAGCAAAGGAGATGGCTGTTGTTTAACAGTGAATCTGCCCTCCCTCTCCAGACCCACACAGAAGCACAAGTCACGGTGTAAATGAGCAGGCACTTCCCACCCAACTGAAGCTGGCTGCTTCTGGACAGGTTTCAGGGCATTCTAGCAGATAAGATCACCAACTGGCCAGGAAAGCTTATTTTAAGGGACCCTTAAATTTATGGGCCTGTACATGCCCAGAGTCTCCTTCTAGTAAAGCTTGGTGGAGGTCTGAGCCTCTTTCTAGAAGCTGCATACTTTCAGTTGGCCATCGGTTCTGGCCCTGTGAGCTTAGCCCCAGTTTGTCCACTAAATTATGTCCATAGAGGCAAGAAGGGAGACTTCTTAAATACTGCAAGGAACTTCTGCTTCTGCAAGTGAATGTCAGGAAGCCATTTGTAATCATGCCATTTGTGCACTTTATATATTAGTGCATGGGTGAAGCTCCACCATACTTCCTTACATGCTTTCAGAAAACCAAGGCAGCATAATTAATTGGACCTATGCATGTAGCTATGTAGTATGAACATGTATGGTGAAACATGAATGAGAAATCTATGTTTCACAGAACTTCCATGTATTTTTCTAATGATTATTTGGAAGAAAAAACCTTTCAGATAGTCATTTCTAAGGATGTGCCTCAGGCACCTGATTTTGGGTATTCAGAATTATTGTTTTAGATTTATTATCAGAGAAGGCATTTGTGAGACTGTGTTTTTCAGGAACGAAAATAATATAGTTAGAATGTGCTTTGAATTGGGGAGAGGGGTGCATTTGCTGTTCCACCTCAGGCTGGGGTGTGTTCAGTATGTTCATCGTGATTCGCTCTGTGACATCTAAAATCTGTTGGATCAAATAAGGCTCTTCCTTATTTTAATTGTGTTATTAACAAGCTTTTTTTGTTTTTAACAAGCTTTATGAATCTCCAAAAAGGGTGGCAAACATCGAAGCCAGCTTAATTTGTCAAGGCAAAGTATCACATCAAGGCTGCATGTTTGAATAATTTCTAGATGCTTTTGACTTTGGCATGACGAATGCTTAAAAAGTGTGACTCATTTCTAGAATATTTCCTTCTTGCCTTTTCTCTATTCAAAAAGTGGGTCCTGTGATTGGATTGGGAATTAGTAAGATAGATATGAATAGTATCTATATAGTAATATAACTAGAGAATACTGTATAAATTGCTTTATATTAATATGGTAGCTTTTATGTGCTATGTTTTGCATGTGGCCTCAAAATTCATTTCATAGAAAAAAGATTGAGTGCTTTTTTTCTACCTTGTTTCTGCAGAATATTGGTTTCAATTGGTGAATCCTTTGGGGTGAGTTTCCTGTTTTGAGTAATTGTTTAAAGTGAATATATTGCATTAGGGCCAATCTGTACTGAATCAGAGGTTTTATGTTTCCCTGACATTTTTGACGAAAAGTAATTGGTCATAGTTGATGCTGGAGGACAAAACAAGGCACAAGGCTGTTTTTCCTTTCCAAAATTGCCCTCATAACATTGTATTTCTCTCAGCAAGATAAAAAACAAAATACAGTGGGGCAAAAAGTATTTAGTCAGCCACCAATTGTGCAAGTTCTCCCACTTAAAAAGATGAGTAGGTGACCAAATACTTATTTTCCACCATGATTTGCAAATAAATTCTTTAAAAATCAGACAATGTGATTTTCTGGATTTTTCCCCCCATTTTGTCTCTCAGTAGGTGACCAAATACTTATTTTCCACCATGATTTGCAAATAAATTCTTTAAAAATCAGACAATGTGATTTTCTGGATTTTTCCCCCCATTTTGTCTCTCAGTAGGTGACCAAATACTTATTTTCCACCATGATTTGCAAATAAATTCTTTAAAAATCAGACAATGTGATTTTCTGGATTTTTCCCCCCATTTTGTCTCTCAGTAGGTGACCAAATACTTATTTTCCACCATGATTTGCAAATAAATTCTTTAAAAATCAGACAATGTGATTTTCTGGATTTTTCCCCCCATTTTGTCTCTCAGTAGGTGACCAAATACTTATTTTCCACCATGATTTGCAAATAAATTCTTTAAAAATCAGACAATGTGATTTTCTGGATTTTTCCCCCCATTTTGTCTCTCAGTAGGTGACCAAATACTTATTTTCCACCATGATTTGCAAATAAATTCTTTAAAAATCAGACAATGTGATTTTCTGGATTTTTCCCCCCATTTTGTCTCTCAGTAGGTGACCAAATACTTATTTTCCACCATGATTTGCAAATAAATTCTTTAAAAATCAGACAATGTGATTTTCTGGATTTTTCCCCCCATTTTGTCTCTCAGTAGGTGACCAAATACTTATTTTCCACCATGATTTGCAAATAAATTCTTTAAAAATCAGACAATGTGATTTTCTGGATTTTTCCCCCCATTTTGTCTCTCATCAATCTTTTTTCTATGAAATGAATTTTGAGGCCACATGCAAAACATAGCACATAAAAGCTACGGAGAACTTGCACAATTGGTGGCTGACTAAATACTTTTTTGCCCCACTGTATGTATTTTCTTCCCACTATTAGGAAGCAACAGACATTTATTTGTAGGGTAAGGGTTCAAACAGAGCCATAGGCAATGATTTTGACTCCATGTCTGTGAAAGACTGTAGATCTGGCCTTGGGAAAGGGGACGGGAGGACAAATGGAAGCTCTGCCCCGAGAAAGTGGGAAGCGTGAGAAAGAAACTCAGGATAACACTGGGTTCATTTTGTCTGATATAAGATGGGGCAAAGAGAACCTCTTGACAGACTTTCCAGGTTCTGTTTGTCCTGCTCGACAACAGCAAAGGGTGTTCCTGGAATCCCTCCTGCTTCTGTCTTGCCTACCTCAGAGGGCTGACAGCCTCCCACATTAGCAATGCCAGTTCACCCAAAATATCTTGTGAGCGTCAAATTGCATGTCCCTGGATTAAATATTCCTTTTCTTGAAACTCATGAAAGGCAGACATTCAAAATCTTTGGAATAGCACCTCTTTTTTGAATATATAGGCAAAGTCAAATAATTTATTTTCTGGTGGGAGAAACCACCGGGCACTCCCATTTGAGCCAATTCATAGTGAAGTTCCCCAAGAGCCTCACCTCTTCTTAAGTTTATCATTCTTCCCATTTTCCACAGCAGGGATCTGGAGATTCCTGAGTATCTAGTTTGGCAAGGGAATCTTCAAATCCGAGTGTCACCTCATTTCAGATAAAACTGTATTGATGGTTGGAGGCAAGAAAGTAATTTCTAAAGCTAACTAGATTAATTAAAGCCCTTAGTCTCTGTGGCCCTTAGTCTCTTTTGATTAGAGGTCTAAACCAAGTCCAAGAGAACCTCCTAGACACTTCATCTCTGGCAGAAAGGCAATGACATTTGTCTCCCACAAGTTGCACTCAACTCCTGAGGACTACAAATCCTTGCTGTTTTCTTGACAACATTAGGGAAGTGGTTTGCTTTGCTTCCTTCCAGAATGTTTTACAATTTCCCAAAGTCTAGCTGTGGGATTTCCTAGTGGTTTCCCATCCTAGTGCTAACCTACTTAGTTTTTATAAGATCAGCCAAGGTTGGTTAAGTGTTGCCATCTGTTATGAAGCTTACTTTACTAGATTTAAAATTCCTCAAAAAGCAGATTACAGTAGAAAGCCATCTTTCTAGCCTTGTAAGATTTCTGTCAGAGAGAATATGTATTATTCACATAGATAACACTTCAAGTTTGGGAACAGGTGTACCAGTCAGCATCACTGTAATTGTTGGCAGTGTCTGGTGACTTGAGCAGAAGGTCCATTATTTCAGTCTAGTGTTTCCAAACTGATAGCAGGGTTTTCCTTTAAGAATCAGGAGTTCAGTCTTAATGTGTTCTAACACAGGTGCCTAAGTTCAGTGTCTTGACTTTCAATCCGTTTGTTTCCCCATTAAATTCTTCACCAGATTTCATTACCCAGCTGCTCAAAGAACAAATCCTTCATGTGCAGTCTGTTTTATGACTTCTCTGATTACTAGGGCAGTCCAAAAATTAGCTGAAAAAGGTCAAGCATTCTGAACATAGCTTGTGGCTGATAGGTCAAATGTATACATCAAGATATATAAAAATGCTACCATTCCTAATATATTGCTTTTCTCAAAATATACAAGTCAAGGGGGCCATTTAGGTCATGTATTTCAACCCCCAGCTCTAAATTAAAGCACTCCTGCTAGAGGGCTGTTCAGGCACTGTTTGAACAGATCCAGGGAAGGGCAGCCCTTCATCTTTCCTGATGCTCCTTTTTCTAACAGAACCTGCCTTTCTACCTTAAATCCAAAATCTCATTCTAGCAGTGCTTGGTGGAGGCCTGAGCCCTTTCCTAACTGCCATTAATACTTACATGGTAATAGAAAATAGGCATCCTTCTGTGAGACATCATTTCAGGTGCTTGAACAGGGCTGTCCTTTCAGTTTTTCCTTAAGGATAAACATTCCGAGTTCCTTCAGTCTGCCTTCATAGGAATCAGTCTTCTATCACTCCTTGTTCCAGTTTATCTGAATCTTCTTAAAGTGTTCCGTCCAGAACTGGACACAATGCCTCAGGTGTAGTGAGACTAAAGTGGAACAATTAGTTCCTTGGATTTAGAAATTATGCTATTGTTTTGCCAGGTTTCCATATCACACTTCTGAGTCATGTACAGTTTTAAACAACTCTTCCAACTTCTTTTTCATCAATAAACTTTGCTCTGTGTATGAATGAGATATACAGTATATCTTTTGTCTAAGCATTTGATTTTTGTTTTGTAAGTGCAAAACTTTACATTTGTCCCTGTTAAATTTAATTATATTATTCTCAGCTTACTTCTCTAATCTGTCATGGTAGTTGGGAATTTTATTTCTGTTTTTAGGTTATCTATCCTTTCTAATTTTATGTTATCTGGATGTTTGATAAGCATTCCCTCTTCATACAAGGTATTAAGAAAATGTTAAAGTAGGGAACCCAGGACTAAATCTTAAGGTATCCACTTGACACCTCACTCCAGTTTGTTGAGAACCATTGATAAACACTCTTTGAATTATGATTATCAAGATTTTATGTATTCACTTAATTGCCAACATTTAACAAGCTTGGTAATCAGAATGCTTTGTCAAATCTTTTGCTGAAATCAAGATGTATCTACAACATTCCCCAAATCTCTTGACAAAGTTATCTGTTCAAAACAGGATATATCATCAATCTGTACAATCCTGATTTCTTGTAATTACTCCAATGTTTTTGAGATGTTTAGAGATCAATCACATTATACTTGATCCTAGAGTCTTCCTTGGTGTCAGTAGCCGAATGGCTAGTCTTTAGTGTTTTGGATCTTCCTTTCCCCATTTGATGACAGAGATAACATTTGCCTTTCTTGCTACTGTATCTACCCCTTGATCCAAACAGAAAAAGACCATACATACACCCTTACACACATACATATATATTCTTTATGTGCTGTTCAGGGGTATCCAGGAAGAAAGAAAAAAGGATCCCACTTCCTTTACTCCAGGGAGCTCCAACCCACCTCCAAGATATAGCCATAAAGAGCCCTCTTCGGGGGCAATCAGTGCCAGGCTTTAGCTTTCTAGTACTACACGACAGAGTAGAGGAAGATCTGTTTGGGCCAGGAGGAAGATGGCTTCTCCTTCTTTCTTCCTCCCAAGGACACCCAAGAACACTATAAAGCTGTTACTCTGGGTCACTTAGCACTGCTTGGAAGATGCCTTCAGTTTGATTTAATGGCCCCATTCTTCTGTTAAAGTAATTCAAGGAATTCCACTTAATACTTGTTTTAAAACTTATCCAACAACATATAAAAATAAATTATCTTCTTATGGCTTTCTGGTATTCTAGAGTTCTGAAAAGTTTCAAAAAATCAACAAGATGGTATGTAACAGTGATCGTCACCTCAAACGGAGTGCTGAACTAAGCACCACCCCTAAGCCTTTGAAGAGATTGCGTTTTGATATAGAAGGACAGGATGAAGCAGATGGAAGGTGAGCTGATTTCTGAATCAAATAATCCAGGCATATATTGGTGGCCCCATCTCAGTATCTGGGTTTGCTTGCTCTGCTCAGCCAGAATAGGGTTTTGGCTTAGTATGTTGTGGGAGCCCATCTTTGCTATCTGGTTTATGGCAGAAATGTGTAACTGTAATTCTTAACAAGATTGTGGTGAAAACAATATTAAAGACATATTACAAAGTCATCAGAATAGTTGTATTTAATTTTTATTAAGTTTAAATGTGAACTAAATAAAATCAACTTTAGTTTCTGACCTGGTTCTACTTGCTTCCTTTTCTGGTATGGCTTATCTTACTAACCCAAACCCTGGTGTGCACCTTAACATGAATCCCTGGTTTATGGCTTAGCATGTTTGGGACAATTCAACCAGGCTTCTTATATGGTTGTACTGTGTGCAATTTCTTTTATGTTGCTTCCTGCAAATGAATTTCAGCAAATTTTCAATTATTTATTTTAAAAGGTCTCTCTGTGTGTATATGCCTGGGATCAGTATTTTTAAATGTAACTACTGATTTATTATAACAATTCATTCTATTTGCCCCATATGAATATCATCATCTTAGTGAAAATATTAAAGTAAAGAAGTAGGCGGGAGGTGCTAATGACTGCAGATACCACTGCTGAAAAGCTGTGTCATTGACCATCAGCTGGGCAGGATGGCTTTTAGGTGAATTTTAACTCTTTCTGTAACATCCAAAGATGTCTTCTTTCCTTCCTTGTTTATGGTTCAGTTATCTCTTCCCTTTGCTTCAGCTCCATCCAGTTTTTTTGTCTCCTTCTCTTTCCTTCAGTTTCTAGTGCAGATACCCCTTCCCTTTACCACATTGCCCTCCTTTCACTTCCTTTCTGCTATTTATGATGGAAGGACAGATGGCAATGTACCTGTATGTCTCTGCATTTCTTTGTATTGCAATGATTTGTATATAAGAGAATAGTTGGGATATGTAAATGGGGGATCAGTTGATTTTATAAATGGGTTCTTTATTTTATAAATAGCTTAGTTCAATTAATACTTTTTGTCCTGGCTCTGCCTGAAGTCTGTCTTTCGGCACACACAGGCATATGCAGACAGGCAAGTATGTCCCATGCACATTTGTACTTAGCAGAGGGACATCCCCAGGACCGATTTCAGCTGGATCTGACAACTCTAGGTTGACATGGTGGAGAAAATGGACATTGCACAGGATGTTTGTTAATGTTTATACAGCAAAACCTCAATTTAGTGGACTTGGATGCAATGGAAAATTTCAGTTGTATTTGCCATTTTGCATCATTTATTCTATCTGCATATTGATGTCAGATGGGTGCAAATGATGTAATTTATATCATTACCATAATGTTGCTGTAGATGAGATGCTGTCCAATTCAATGGGCACCCCCTTTCCTAATTGGTCCATTAAATTGAGGTTTCCTTGTAATGTCTTCAAGGGTTTTTTTGAGTAAAAGCAGCAAGCAGAAAGAAGCTAAAAATGGAATCTGATCTCTCTCTTGCCACGGTCCTCCTGCTCCCCGCCGTCTCCTGCCTGCTAGGCTGTGGTGATTTTCTTGCCCTCAGCACAGGGAGCTTTCCTGGAGAATTTCCAGCTCAATTGGACTGGTTCTTGAATTGTTTTCTGTGTTTACACATACCACTTTTGGGTAGATTATCACCATATATTGGTTTGCAGGTTCCCAACTTTAAAAATGTTGCTCTCTTAGTTAGTAGTAGTATTAGATCTTAAAGAGTTAAAGTTTTTAACTCTTTCTGTAACATCCAAAGATGTCTTCTTTCCTTCCATTTGCATTTCTTTGTATTGCAATGATTTGTATATAAGAGAATGGTTGGATATGTAAATGGGGGATCAGTTGATTTTATAAATTGGTGTAACTTTGGTTACACCAATAAATGATGGCAAAAAATATCTGAAATAGCGCTGTTGGGTTGAAAGTGGAATTCTGTGTAGTTTGTTATTTTTGCAAAAAAAATGACATTAAATTTGAATTTGAAGTTTTACAGTCAGGTTTATATAAAAATGAGAGTAGAGTTTGATCTTTCAAAGGGCATCTGCATAGGGAAGGCATGTTCCCCATGCAATAAAACAAGATAACCTCAATTTAGTCAAAAATTCTACATAAAGCAGATAAGCATCTGAAGGAGAATCATTCAATTTGGTTACTTATGTTTTGCGATGTGAATTGGCGTTTGCTGTCTAGAGCCACAAATTATGTGTGCAACACACTTTGGAATCAGAACTGTATAAAATGTAGAATTCCCCCCCCCCCCCAATTTACAGGGAGCATCTTTCCGGAGAGTCGAAATTTCAACAAAAGCTTGCAGAAATGAGTAAGTATTTGTTCATCATGGGAATAATTATAAATTACTAGTGGGGGCAATTGAGGTGGTTTCTTACAACAATGGGCAAGGTCCAAATAACTAGTGCCATGCATTTACTGGGTTTTGGGGATAGTGGTTCTTTATAAAGTAAAGTGTAATAAGCCAACAGGGTCAGCTATTTCTTGTAAAAGGAATCTCCATGTATCTAAAGTACCTTTTTAGATTCTAGCCAACATTCAGTATCACCTGGCCTGCCCCTTAAGCTTCCCAGCATCTTTCCTTCCCCTTGTCCCAAGAAAATCCCTCAACCTTGGTTTTTCCATACTGTTCTCTCACCCCGCAAAACAGGTCTTCCCAGAACATCTACATTTTGGTCTATGTCCAAAAGAGAAGAGCTCCATTTCATTCCATATCTGGACATTATGAACGAACTATTTTAGGAATCCCTAACTGCTACATTTAAATCAAAGATCAGTCAGTAATAGATAATTATAATGAGATTTCATATGTTTGAAATAGAAATTTCAAAAGCTACTTTCAGTACAATTTTGCTTTTTCTTTCATTTTCCATTACTGTTAACTGCTGAAAGAAAAATATCAAATAAAGTCCTCCAAGATGTAATGAAAATCTAGGTACCTGCATTTCATGAGGATCCTGTTTTTAATTCACAGATCTAATATGAGATTAGCTGCTTGCATGTCTTCTGTTTTATTTTAGCAAATATCTTCTTTATCACAGCTTATACTAACAAGTATTTAAAAAGGCAGTATTTTTGTTTCTCTAGCATCTACTCGGACCAGAATACAAAACCAGAAACTGAATGATGGTGCTGAAGCTTCAGGCACTGTACAGAAGTGAACTCCTTTTCAGACCCATGATCTGCACTGTGCTGTATGCTTTGATTTCTACTATGTTGTTCTGCATATATTGTGTAGCTAATTTAAATTAGTTGAATTTCATGTTTTCAGTGTTTTATGCTATGATATAGCATATGTATTATCCGTTCAAGTGTTAATTTATACATATTAGTTTTAAGTAAAATTGATTTCCCAGTGCATTATTGTTGAATTATATTACCTTTTTCAGTTTATACCAATCTACTTTGTTTTAGACAGACATTTGAGGTTCAATTTGGAAATACACAAAATGCACTAGTGTTTTATTAAGAAATGTCATTTTAATATTAGACTTGATGCACTATTTATATCTTTGAGGTTCCCCCCAAGCAGCATCCAACAATACATCAGAGAACTGCCTGCAGGACAGAGTTTACAATAATTTATACAATTGGATTGTGAGGTATAGTCACTGGTCTGGATCCCCTCTTGGGGAGTGCACTTAAGTATGGTTTCTAGATCCAATCCATTAGATATCCCTATTAAATCATATACATTGCTAACATGTTTATCTTTTTTTTCCTGTTAAAACATGCACACAAATTAGAAAAGTAATTTGGCAGCCTGCTTGAATTTTATTGAATGGTACAGCAAACCACAATTACTGTGGTACAAAACACCTCAATGTACACAGTTTTATTTGTCTCATGATCAGAGAAGTGCAATTTTGGAGCTGTCATTTTTTTAGTCCGTTGGTTTTGTAATAATCAGTATTCAGATTGCAAATTCAATATAGACTATGAAAATAAAGTCCTGAAATTTTATTAGCAGGAAGCATACTTAAGAGTTGGCTAACCTTAAACTATAATAACTATGTATTTTGACAAATTGAACATAGAAATATTCTGTATTCTAATACATTAAAGATTAATAAAATACTTTGAAAAGTAAGCATGGGAATCATTAATAATGTACAATGAAAATTATATTTAACATTCATGTTTTATCCTGAAGTTGGGTCTTTGATATAATTTGACGTGATAGCTATAATTTAGTAAACATGAAATGGAAAGCAATTAGACTTTCAGAAATGTTTCATACAGTGAACTGAAAATCTGCAAAAATATATATTTTTATAAATGAATTTTGAACTTTGGTAAATATAGGCCAGATGAAATACAATCCATATTCTCCACTTTGGTTCTTCCATAATTTCTAAGATCAGTTGTCACAGTAGAGAGCAAGAACGCATAATGCTCTTTTTAAACTACTGGGTTTGAGAGAAAATTATCATGACATCTGCATAAAGAAGTACCACCAGGATGTTTGCTGGGCAGTTTTGTTGAGTCTGAACTGTCTAAATGAGTGACAAGTGAATTAATATATAAATTGAATAATAATAGAGTCAAGATGCAGTCCTGCCAACTCCCCTGAAAACTGAGGTACCCTTGGACACTGTATTTATGACATTAGAAATAGGTGGCAATTAACTGATGTTTATGGTAATTTATACCAGATAATCTAAAATCAGTAAAAGTTGATTAGGATTGGGGGGATGTTTTTCTGCCAAATGGTGCAATATGAAGGGTGAATGTAATACAGAACAGCTTGATCCAAATGTTGCTCTGCCAGAATCATATTCAATCCACTAATTGTTCCCATAGGTGTCTGTCCTACAGCTTGCTGACTATACTTAACAGACTAATAGGTTTGTAGTTTGGGGACAGCTTTTTCTTACCTCTTTTGTATATCAGAATTATTACTGTCACCCTCCACCCCCCACCCCTCTTTAACAGAACACACAGCGCAGTCAGGAGAAAATAGCCCTCGTTCCAGGTTGTTTCTGATTGCCTCTGATGTTACGGAATCCTCCCCAGGGCCCTGGCTGGGCTTGAGCTGCTTTACCAGCAAATTTATTTCACAGCAGAGCAAGCCAGACTGGATGTGATAAAGGCTTCTTCATCCTTCTTATACAATGCCCAGTGGCATTCCTCTCAAACTGCTGCAGGAATATGCCAGTTGACTTGGGGTGGCTTCAGCAATGAGTGACATGCAATAATGCACCAGAAAAGTGCTGCAGTTTTGCACTAAGCTGCAGTAATCACTTTATGCTAGGCCATCCCCATAGCCTCCTTTTTACTTTTGAACAGCTGTTTAATATTGTGTTTCTGAGGGGTATATGAGGCTTTACGTCTTTTTACTTACAACGGCAATTGGGACCATAATTTCCATTGTTAAGCAATGCGGTCATAAAGCACGACTGCACTGCTTAGCG